AAATGATTTACTATCACAAGAAATGCAAAAGGACTAAATTTATCAGTTACTAACTTATAAAACTGGACTAAAACCAAAATTAATTATATGCTGCTCTAAGGCACAGAAGGACTGAAGCTGGTGCCAGCCCTCTGGGAGCCATATGTGTGGTAGACACAGTTACCAGACCAGCTCCTTGCCGTCAGGGTTAGAGTCAGCTGAGAAAGACAGGAACCAGGACTGGTCCCTGCTCTCAATGGTCATAGTCTGGTGGGCAGACATGAGAACCTGAGTAGGTCACACCCCTCATTTGTCACACCCTGCTAAGGTTAAACGCTGGAACCAAGCCTGCTCCATGCCCTCAGGGGTCACAGACTGCTGGGTGAGAACAGACATCAGATTGGGTCCCATTGCTGGAGTCAGTGTCTTGTGTCATTCAGCGGAGAGCTAGTCCCTCGCTGTAGTCCTGGAAACTAGCAGCGCTGTCCCAGCGACCCTCCTACAGGTCCCGGCTTTGTTGAGGCTGGTTTGCAGGCTCCAAGACAGCCCTCATGGCATTTCTTAGCACAAAGATGGGAGACTTAGAGACAAAGCCCAAATTCTTTCCTTGTAAGGTTCATAAAGTGGTCAGGTTGTTTAATATTTGCACCCCAATTCTCTCTTCTAAAAATAGAAATAGGTAATATGTACTTTTGAGGGCTATTGAGAAAGTTAAATGTGAAAATGTACATAAAAGTCATTAATAGGAATTAGTAAATGGAGGTCCCCACCTGTTCCCAGTTCCGGGGAGATGGGTGAGTATTTGGACACTTTGGTTAGCACATGTGTCTTCTTTTATCTGTCTGTCTATCTATCTATCTATCTATCTATCTATCTATCTATCTATCTTCTTCATCATCATCATCTATCTGTCCATACTCCATCGTATGTCTATTGTCTACATCTGCCAATCATCTATTTGTCAATCTATTTATCTATCTAGCTAGCTATCTCTTGACTCAGAGTTCCAGAACAAATAATATTTTATTCACCCATAGTCATTCTGCATGTTATCCAGCTTTTTTCATTCACCACATTCTCCTAACAGACACATATTTTATGTATTTAGTTGGAAATACTTTATGGTTGATTTTGCAGTTGGCTGTTAAATCTATGTCATCTTTCCAAGATAAAGTTGTTTTCAAAAATGCAGTAATTCTCTATCCACTTTCACCTCTCATTCAACTCCACAGACTATAAATAGCACCAGGATGGAACTCTACCCACTCTGTGTTCTTCCTGCAAGTGCAGAGTGAGATAAAGGGAAAAAGTGAGAATATTAATCTTAACTGTGGTGACTGAATCGATGAAGTGATGATTTCTTGTAAAACTTGTAAACAAATGCTCATTGCTGCTTCTTAAAAGTGTAAAGCTTGAAAATTTGAGAAAATATATGTTAACACTATTGTCAAGTACATTCCTTGAAACTAATTAAATGCACATTTCTTTATATTTTTCAACAAACAAGCAAAAAAAAAAAAATAGAACAATGAACAGGACACCTCCTCACAAACGTATTACCCAGCCCAACCCGCCAACAGCACCACACTTGGGAACCCTGTTCCAGCCATTTGCTAGACTAGCCATGAACCCCAGAGAGAGCACGGGACTTCTCAGTTAGCTAATCACAGCAGAGACAGAATGCAATCTAGTTCCATTGACATTCAGACTGATTACATCCTATCATAATAAATTTAATTTTGAACTTTCACAGCCTCTATTACAGTATTACCATTCACAATGGCTGCACGTTGACTCTTTCAACAGAGAAAGTAACTTTAGTACAAACACCTATACGCTCTTGCACTGGTCAGATTCTCTGATTGCCTAAAATGCTATCATTTTTTTCTTCTCATGTTATTACTTTTTCTCACACCACAATGCTCATGCTCTCGCTTTCTAAATTCTTCTATTTTACATTTTCATAAAGATGCATCCAACAGCAATAGAATGCACAACTCTTGAACTGTTCCTAAGCACACCAAGAAGGCACGATGTGAGTATAAAACAGACATTTTCTTGTACTATGGACACATTTTGATACATTGTTTTGGTGACTTCACTGTGAGAATGTGGTGCCATATATGAAGGTTTATAAAACCAGTACTTACCTTATTAAAATCTGTCTCCCACTTGTCTCAGCAACTCACAGCCACCTCCTCGTGTGTTTAGAAGCTGTTTTTACAGTTGAATAACTCCTCCTCTCTGAAAGAGGGAGCTTCCAGATAAGGGAAATCCCCTCCCACAATGTTCAGGGTCCATGGGTTCAATGCCAAATAAGAAGAAAAATGACAAGTCATCCTCGGATCACGAAACGACTGGTTAATATGTTCCTTCTCAAGGTCAGCAAATAAAAGATTAAACAAAACTTTTCAGATTGTGAAACTCTCTCTGCCAATCAGTGGGCATGGCTTTTTGAAGAGCTTGCTGTGAGGTTTGCATGAATTGGATGCAAGGACTAAAGCAAATAATAAACCTCTTCTGTGAGCAGCAAAGGGAGCTGAGGTCAGTAAAGGGCAAGCTGATGGTGGAATACTTTTTCTGTTGGGTTTTGGATAAAATACAGGACACCTGATTAAATGTGAATTTCAGACAAGGGACACACTTATTCTAAAAAATTATTTATTGTTTATCTGAAATTCACATTAAACTGGGCATCCTGTATTTTCTCTGCTAAATCTGGCAACCTGGTTAGTACACCTTTTCCTCTATGCCGCACTCGTATCAGGCTTGCTAGCCTCTGGGCCTTTGCCATTCGTTCTGTTTGGAATACTCTACTTTGAGCCACTACAGCATTATTGACCTTATATGTTTAATATCATTTTTCCCCAAACTCTGTGAAGTTTTGGAGGTAGGGCTTTTATCTTGTTTCCAGTCATGTCCCCAACTGTCTGACACAGCACCTGGCACATAATTGCTCAATAAATAACATAGTTTTTTAAATTATTAAATGGAATATTTCCAGCAAATACAACCATAGAGAGAATGATAGAAAGTAAAGAAAGCCCAACATACCCATTGTGTTATGTAAAGAAAGCCTCACACATACCCATTCCCCTGCTTCAAAATTACCAACACTACCAATGTTGTTGATCTGTACCCTGTTGTGGGGAGGTCATGGTGGTGGCCTCCTAAAAAGATAGACCCATGTCCAAATACCTGGAGCCTGTAAATGTGACCGTACTTAGAAAAAGGGTCTTTGCAGGTATAATTAAGTGAGGGAACCTGAGATGACATCATCCTGGATTATCCAGGTGGGCCCCAAACACAATGACAAGTGTCTGTACAACAGAAGAGAAGACACAGACACACAGAGGGTGAGTTGATGTGAAGATAGAGGCAGAGATTGGAGTGATGTGACCATGAGCCGAGGAAAGCAAAAAGCCACCAGAGTCTGAAGGAGGCAGGAAAGGGTTCTCCCCTAAAGCTCTGGAGGAAGTGCAGCCCAGACAACACTTTGACTTTGAACTTCTGGCTTCCAAAAGTGTGAAGAATACATTCTGCTGTTTTAAGTCCCTCGGTTTTAGTAATTTGTTATAGCAACCACAAGAAACTAATATATGGAAACCTACTTCTCCCACAACCATGGAATTATTTTGAAGCAAATCCTAGACAGCCTATAATGCATATATCAGAAATTGAGTATGCCAATGTCTAACAGGTAAGGACTCTTTCTAAGCATAATAATACTATTCTCTCATTAAACTAAAAATTATAATCCCTTAATTTCATTAAATATTCAGCATCCCAATTTCATCCATTGTCTCATGAGGGTTTCTTTACAGTGGACTTATTTGCATCAGAATCCATGCAAGATCCCTATGTTGCACTTGAATAATATGAATACATCCATGAAGACATGAGTGAATGAATACAGATGTCAGGCAGAGGACAGTGTGTGTGGAATTCTGAGGAATTCTCAAAGCCCAGACTCAAACCCTTAGGTCATGAAGCTGTGGGTGGAGTTGTGCAAGGTGTTATGGCCATTTGCGATGGAGCAGTAGAGATGCCGCCCAGCCATGCCCGCACACCAGACCCTCTCAGGAGAGTGTGGAGGCACAGTGGCATTCAGCTTTGTTAGAGGGCTCTGTGGGAAGGTACAGAGGAGAGCCCGACCCACTCTGGGAAGCAACTGAGGTGAGGAGCTAAGCATGCCCACGTGGAAAGGAAGGGGTGAAGAGGGATGTGAGGAAGGATCCCCAGTCATGGGACTCACTGAAGGACTTAAAGAAGGTGGTGATACTCAAATGTGCATTTTAGGAAAGCCATTTTGGTTGCAAGGAGACAGCAGACGAGGTGGAAGTGAAGCTACAGACAGGGAGCCCTGTGTGTCTGTCAGCTCCCTCCCCGAGCTATGGGGAAGCTCTGTGTGGGGAGAAGAACTCAATATGCCAAAGCCCAAAGCCCAGATTCTCTGGGAGGGTGTGCATTAGGAGCCACAAATGTGGCCAAAGTTAGAAATCACTCCTAATCCAGCCACTCTGGCCCAGTGACAGGCCAGAAAAATAGAAAAAAGATTTTATATGCATTCAGTAACATATAATTTATACATGTAATCTGTACCTTGGAAGTCTAGGTCTGAGCAACATTGAGTGACCTCAGAGAAAGCTCAGCCAGGGGCCCCACAGAACATTAAGTAGCAGAGCGCTGATGTGCCAGGGAGTCATGGACTGAAAGGCACCAGAGAGCAGAGCTTGGGTTTGTTGTCTTGTTCATCATTTCCGCATCCCCTAGGACACTAATGAGTCCGTAGTAGGCATATCGCTGTTGTATTGCATGGCAGCAAAACTCATAACCAAAACATTTTTATTACCAGAAGGAAAGCAGCTCTTAAAGAAAATTTCTTATGCCATTACCAAGAGGGGTAGCTATTTTCTTGTGAACAACCGAGGATGTCAGATATGAATTCTACACTCAACTCTTTGAAGAGCTTTGTGACAGACACATGACAATTACTGGAAAAGATAAAAGAGACCTCATAGTCCATGTTTCCATTTTTTTATTTAATTTTGAATTCCAAGAGAGATGCAATCGAAGGAGACTGAAAATCTGATTTAATAATGGATCATAATGAACAAGAATAAATTGTAACTAAATCAGCTCATGGTAGTTTATTATTTGATTACTTGCAAAAGCTTATTATTCTCAGAAAATCCAAGGTAGAGCATTTCACTGTTGGATAACTTCAGAAAATTGCTCCTGCATGTGCTAGGAATCCATGCCTGCTTTATTTAAATCTTGAAAAGCTCCCTGGTTGCTTTTGAAGCTTTTGGGTCTGTAGGAGGCTTCCTTTGACTGCCGGGCTGCAGAAACTTCTTCACAGGAGGGAGGTTGCTGATCCTGATTTTCAGGGCCTGCAATGCACAAAGCACAGCCTCAGATGGAGACACAACACCCAACCCTCATTACACAGGCAACGGAATCAGAGACCCTCCTAGACAGGACCAACTAAGTCCCCTCTATCAGCACCAGCAGGGGGCTGGGAAAGGGACACCCAGCAAGACAAGAAGAGGAAGGAAACACAGCTCAATAGCACTTTCCCCAGAGACAGGATTCAGTTCACAGTCTTCTTCCCACATGGAAATCCTGTGGATTCTCACTCTTTTGCAGACAAGGAAGACTAATGAGTCTGTCAGAGCAACACAGGTAAAGGCTCCAAACTGGAGAAATGAATATGTGGGACAACTGGGCTGGAACTGAAGATAGAAAATATAGAAAGTCAACCATGTGTACAGTCAAAAGCAATCTTCCCTGTGAGAGAGAGAGACAGACAGACAGAAAGAGAGAAGGGGCTGTGGGGAGAGAAACACAGTGTCTGAGAGAAGGAGCAGGAGCTGAGGGAAGGAAATCAGAGGAAGGAGATCTGCTCACACAGTCACAGGTAAGAGAGACGAGGACACACGGGGGAGGAAGGGAATCCCAGAGAAAATGAGGACAGAAACTGCATGAACACGGCTGGGCACAGAGATGCTGAGCCCTGGGTCCCGCTCATTGCTCTCATTGTGAAAGACAAACTATTCTCCTTGAGGCAGCATCCACCTCCAATTTCCAATGGCAAAACAAGATTATTTTCCTGCCTCAGAACAGGGCCTATGAGCAAATTTTGGAGACCTGGGGGCAGCGGGGCGTGCACAATGATGCAATCATAACATGGCCAGTCCAAGAACCCAGATATTAGATTCCAAGATGGGAGATGTGGGTTCCCTCCCAAGGGCTGTGAAAAGGGTCACCTTCAACAGCGGGAAGTTGGCCAGAAGGCTGGGGTCAATCTCTTCAACATAGTAGATAAGTTCAACCAGGTGAATGTCAGCCTTGCTCAGCCTGTTGCCAACCAGGTAGTGTTGCCCATGGCTCTTCAACACCTGGTGAATTGGAGGGAGCAGGTTATGAACACAGGTACACTCAGGCTGGGTCCCCCTGCTCTTCCCAGGTCTCTCCATCCCAGCTTCCCATCTGTGCTGTCTCGCTGGACAGGTGCAGAGCATCAGACCACATTCATCTCCCGTGACTCAATGAGACAGAGAGAAGCAGGTCTTTGTTGTTCTTTCCTCACCCCTCAGCTGAAGCCCAGGCAACCATCTCATTCTCCCATTCCCACGTCACTGGGCCCCTCTGTGCATGTTGGTCTGGCCAGGGCTTGCACTGACTGCACTGTGTTTCTATGTGCTACACGCCCGGAAGCCTCAGCAGCTCTGAGATTTCAGGACTTGTCTCTCCAGGCTGTTCTCTCTCTCTCCTTCGGGCAAAGACATCCTTCATGACATCCTTCCTCAATCCTGAGAACACTATTTCAGAGTCTATATTTCTCCTCTTGTCTGCTGGTCACATTTCCTGGTCTACCTATGTAGGATCTGAAATAATCCGGGAACAATTTGAAGTCATCATTTCTCTTACAACATTGTCTCTTAGGCCTAAGCCACCCGTGCCTCTCAATAACATAAGAAGAATTTGTTACAATTCACATGTGAACTGCCTATGGATGACTGCAGTTGTCTGTAACTTACTTTTAAATGCATCAAAAAATAATGTTTGATTACAGCAGGGAGGGATGGGGAGATATATGATTAAGCAAACATAATTATAAAATGTCAGTATATATGAGTATATTGTATATCTCTTTCAACTTTTCTGTTTCTGTTTTTTATAATTAAATATTGGAGAAATATGTGATGCTTATTAAAATCATTGCAGCAATGTGGAAATCATAGAGAAAAAACACATGTGGACCACTGACTAAAGATAACATTTTGGCAAATGTGCTTTCAGACTAGATAGATAGATAGATAGATAGATAGATAGATAGATAGATATGAATGGATAAGTACTTAATGACTACAATAAAATATCAAATGCTATGTTGTTATATGCATTTTGCATTCATTCACGTGATCACAGGGCTCTTTATTTTCATGAGATTATGGGACTCTTTATTCATGTGAGCATGGAACCCTTTATTTTCAAAGTATAGATTCACCTAAATTGCAAGGTCTGTTTAGGTTTTCATCATGGGAAATGTGCCTAAACTCTTAGCACCACAAGGACCAGGGGAGTGTACTAGTATGTTCTTATTAATACCAAATTCTTTGCTCTTTGTATATAACCTCACACACAAGCAACAAATTAACATTTTTTGAGTGAATGAATGATTTAATATTTAATAAAAATAAGTTCCTCAGTATTAATGTTTTTATTTCTATGTAAGCCTCATATATCCCTTACAATCTTTTCATAGTTGTTGTTCATGATTTTTATTTAGCACTAGTGGCCAGGTGCACGAAATTTGTGCATGGAGTGGGGGTGTCCCTCAGCCCGGCCTGCACCCTCTCCAATCGGGACCCCTTGGGGGATGTCCAACTGCTGGTTTAGGACCGATCGGACAGTTGTACATCCCTCTTGCAATTCGGGACTGCTGACTCCTAACCGCTCACCTACCTGCCCGCCTGCTCACCCCCAAGTGCTTTCCCCTGCTGGCCTTCTCACTCCCATCTGTCCCCCCTTGCTGGCCTCATCTCCCTAGCCCTTCCCCCACCCGCCAGCCTGATCACCCCTAACTGACCTCCCCTCCTGGCCTGATCACCCCTAATGGCTTCTGCCTCCACCCCACCATCATGATTTTGTTCAAAAGGATATCCAGAAGGTCTCCCCAAAAGTCTCCCAGTATAATTAGCATATTACCCTTTTATTAGTATAGATGATTTCAGGGTGTTTTAATCTGAAATATTTCCCTTTTACCTTCAAAGAGAAGCATTATCTAATATATATATATTATGTATATTGATGGAACTTTATTCCTGAATTTTGAATGACTTCCCTCAAAAGTTTGAGAGACATACTCACAAAATGTGTAGATTATTTATTCCTTAACATCTTTTTATCTGTTTCTTCCTCTCCATCCCACTGCCTTTCTCTCTGTTTAGATACGACATCCTTCCCAGAAACACTGCCATACCCTCCTGGTGGGCAGTTGGGGTCATGTTGCCTGTTGTCAGCATATTTTCCGTTGAGTCGCTTCCCTCGCGCTCCTCTTGGATGAAAAGCCCCTGCATGGAGCTCTGCAGGACCTACTCCAATCGCCAGTGCGGCTCTAACTGTGGCCATGAAATGCCATCAGACAGAGAATTCTAAATCGGGTCCTAGTAAACTGAGCTTTTGCTGACAGATTATAACTTGGGTATAACCGGTACAGGTCCTACCCACAGCTGATTTTGATAACATCCCTGGAGAGCCAGGGTGCTCCATCAGTAGTCAGGAGGGCCCATTGGAAGTGAAGGTCAAATCCCCAGGACTGCCCAGGCACCATTTCTCTATGTCCTCTAGTCTCAGTTCCCCAAACACTGAACAGCCCACTTACCTTTTCAAAGGCTGGGAAATAACGATTTGTTGTTCTCTCTCTGATCTGGGTCATGTTGGCATCTTTTTGATGAGGTGGGCATAGTGGGAAACGCATGGTCATTTCATTCAAATCTGCAATACCTTCTGAATACATATCAATCCTGAAAGACAAAAATGACCCAATTGTCAACTGTCACCTGTCTTACATGTTATAGTTTAAAAATGTAAGAGAATGGGGTATTGGGAGATGGCCAAGTGATTCACCTCCATTGGGTGAATTTTTATATACCAGTCATTCAGCTATGATTTTCTCTTAACTTTAACATTTCATATCAAGGTGGTTATCTACGTCTAAAATTTTTGTTATGCCCATGACCAAATATACTGACAGAGAACATCAGTGAGGTGTCCAGAGTCACAGGCATGGAGAAATTGCTGGAGTCATTGCAAGTACCCACTGAGATGCTACCTAGGGTTTGCCATCTCTGCTGTGGTTGGTTCTGGACACAAACTCCATGTAATCCATAAGACTAAAGGACTGCCACCTGAGGAATCTGCAGAGAGTCCCTGGCACAGACACCTCAGTCATGTCCCTCTCCCTCTCTCATCCTATTATACCACCCAGGCCCGTTTACATGCCCAATATTAGCAGTTCTTCCAATGAGTTCCTATAGAGCACAGTCCCCAAAGAACACAGTTCCCAACCTGCTCCATGAGCTGTTTCTAAACTTTGGCCACGTTTGCACTGCTCAAGACTCCACCTAAAACATCCCCTGAATGGGTGCGATCCTTTATATATTAGTAGTGGCAACCAGTGCATATTATAGAGGAGTTTTGTTCTAAACTGGGTTTTCTACAATACTTATAAATATACCAGCTTTTTTGAAATTCTATATTTACACACCATAAATATCACCCTTTAAAGTGTACTATTCAGTAGTTTTTAGTACATTCTGAAATCATCATCACATTCTCTCATTCCAGAACATTTCCTATCATGCCCAAAATAAATTCTGTACTCTTTACTGTCACTTCCTATTTCCCCAAAACTCCTTCCCCAGGAGATCACACACTACTTTCTGTTTATATGGATTTGAATGTTTGGACATTTTATATGAATGGAATCATTTTACATACAGCCTTTTGTGTGTGGTTTCTTTCATTATGTATACTATTTTTAAAGTTCATTCATGTTGTCACCTACATCAGAATTTTGTCCTCTCTATGGCTAAATTACATTTCATTGTGTAAATATTGCACTCTGGTCATTCATTCACCAGTTGATGGATATTTCTATTGTCTCCACTTTTTAAATATTGTGAGCAACGCTGCTATGAACATTTGTGTGCATGTTGGGGAAGGTCACCAAGAAGATGTGTCATTTCACCCACAAGCTGCACCTGGACAATTGGAGGCTCCCCAATCCCTCCTCTGTGCTTGGAATGTGCTCTCCACATGCCTTCCCCAGGACACAGCCTTGGGATAGGAATGTGGTGATAAGACCATCTGGACTTGGTATGCAACACAGTTAAGGCCTCTATATAACCTTTTAAGATCCTGGAAGGTGGATTCAGAAAACCACTCGACTTGTGGTCATGAACAAATTTCCTTGTTTATTAAACCTGCCACCTACCAATAAGGACTGCAGGCCTTTTTCTTCAGTCTCTCCCTGCCCTTCACAGACGGGAGCCAGTTTCAGATTTCCCCTGAGGGCTCCCTAGGAGGTCTATGAAGCCACAGTACAAGGTTTAGTGTGGATGTAGTGTTTATTATCTTGGGAACATACCTAGAGGTGGAGGTGCTGACATAGGATAAGTCTATGTTCAACATTTTGAGTAAGTGCTACCAGTTCCTTACAAGTTTTAGTTTCAATCATGTGGTTCCCTCTCAAAAAGAAGGAGAACACCCCCACCCCTCCCAGATGTAGCTGCCTTGAATAAATCTGGCTGCTTCAGTAAAAAGAAAAAAAAAGTTCTAAGTAAACCGGGCCTCTTGAAAACCTGCCTCTCCTAACCCTTGTCGAGTTCAGTCCATACAACGGGCTGGTGAGTTAGATTCCTGGTAACTATGCCTGTAGTTTCTGGAACTTGAGAATGAGCCCCTTTGTGTCCTTTCCTTCCCCAGTCTTTTCTTTAAAGGCCTGAGAACCTGGAGTCATGACTCCACCACCCTCCTGGCTTCATGGTTCACCGGTCTTTGGAAAAGTCTGTCACTCCCTGTGCTACCTCTGTGGACTGAGTCTTCCTTTCTAATCCCACTGCTTGATTCCGCTTCAAGTGGAATCCCTCCTCCTCATGCTCCCTGCTGGGCTGGATCTCCAAGGCTCATGCTGCTGTTGGTCATGATCCGCAACACAATCCTGATCATTCAAGGAAGAATCTAAATTGTTATTGTTTATTAAAAAACAGAAAAAATACCTACAAGGCTCTCTCCTTTATGTCTGTCCCGTAGAGGTTGTATTTGGCAGCAATGTAATTGAGAATGGCTCTGGTCTGTGCCAGCTTCATCCCGTCGATTTCCACCATGGGCACTTGCTGGAACATCAAAGACCCATCTTTTGAAAGAAGAAAGAAAGAGTACAGTGAAATGTCTAATGGATCACAGTCTTTTGAGATGAAAACAAGTTTGTTGAAATTATCAGGTAATACTTTAACAAAATGGCATTTTGTTCCTAGTTTTTTACAGTCCTTTTTCTTCTCAGTCTGCTTTTTATTTTTTAACTCATTATTTTATTGACCTTTTTATTCCCATCAGATACATGGTAGCTTTTGTGATTGATTTATCTTTGTGGATATTTTTAAAAGAAGCTGGAGAGAGGCTGCAGCAGGCTGCCAGCCCGATGGTATTTCAAATGGGAAGTTCCCACAGTAACTCTTATGGTGTTCATGGCATTTAAGGCAGGTTTTGGGAGAGATTTTTACGTAGGCATCTCTTTCCCTGACTTCAACATCTGCAATATTGCTAGGACATTACCTTGCAACAAACCATAGAGATAATTCAAAGCTACTGCTGGGCCTATTTCTACTCTCTTCACCCTGATGCATGTGTTTGAGTGTCGGAGGATAGGTGGGGTCCTGAGCGGACACAGCTCCTCACAGCGGGTGCAGAAAGGAGGAGAAGCAAGGAGTGGGCATTCCAGGTCACAAGGGATGATTCCTTGGTGAATACTCTGAGTTCTAGGCCTTCCTAGCCCTGAGTGAGTGGTGAGACCTGCTCAAGGAGCCCCGCCCTTACACATGAACTACTTTTCTTCCTCTTTCACCCACCCTCCATCTCCGACCATACACACTCTCAGGCATTGCTTAGTGCAGTGGTCAGCAAACTCATTAGTCAACAGAGCCAAATATGAACAGTACAATGATTAAAATTTTTTTAAGAGCCAAATTTTTAAACTTAAACTATATAGGTAGGTACATTGTTATTAACTTAATTAGGGTACTCCTAAGACTTAGGAAGAGCCACACTCAAGGGGCCAAAGAGCCACATGTGGCTCGTGAGCCGCAGTTTGCCAACCACGGGAGTGTTCAAACCTCACTATTGCATTTATTCCCTCATCAGAGGAATTTAGATACATTGTCTTACCATTTCTTAATTTTTCCAAGTCTTCTGGACTTTCCAAAAATTGCTCTTCAAACTAGAATCAGAAAGAGTAAGGAGTTCTTGTGATTCATTCCATAGCATTACAGAACTTTTAACTTTAAATGACCTCTGTCTGGTACATCATATGGAGGAGGTAAGATTCCCGAGTTTGGCATGGTACACAGAGGAATACAGTGATGCCATTTGGAAATTCAGATTAGAGCCATCAAGAACAGAACATGAAGCAAAATAAGCCAGTCAGAGAAAAACAAGTATCACATGATCATGTCGAATCTAATGAACAAAATAAATTGATGAACAAAACAGATCCAGAGACACTGAAACATGCAATAGATGGATGTATTTCAGAGGAAGTGGCTGGTGTGGGGGGCTGGAAGAGTTTGACCAAAGAATTTATATATGCTTAGCCCATGGACAAACAATAATGCAGGGAAGGCCTAGGGAGTGGGTGGGAGCAAGGTAGAGGGGGTTATGGGTGGGGGGTGGAGGGGGGGTAGGAGAAAACATCTGTAATACTTTCAACAATAAATATATTTTAAAAAGAGGACAGAGCATGGCTTGCAGCACTTAACTGCTCACACTTGGAGGTTCCTTTCACCTCCATCTGCTTTTACATCTGTCAATGGTCAGGCCATGATTTGGGAGGGGAGTATTAACACAGGGAAGGGAATGGGAAGTTCTTGTAGTTATGGAGTTTTGATATCTCAAGAAAGCCTTTCTCTCCATATGAGACAGGCCAGGAAATCGTGTGTCCCCCAGCGTGGGATATCCATGGGCCCATAACCATCTAAGATGCTGTCACCAAGGTGACAATTACCTCATTTCATTTCATTTTATAGTTTAAAAGGAGTATTTTATAATAAAAGTTTTGATCTTTAGCTTGATCAGTGGAACAGTCTATTGTGGATCTACATAATTCCATAGGGGAAGACCTGATAGATAGTGAGTTATGTGTGCAGGGATTTATAAAGCTTCCAGTGCAAGACAAACATAAAGGATGGAGGATGGCCATGAAGGGAGGGTGGCCAAGGTAGGGTGGCATTGGCATTGGCTGGTGTGATGTTGCTTGTGAGGCTAACGGAGGTGAAAATGATTGTAAAGATCAACCTTTGGGAGCACAGAACCCAGGAATGCTGACCAAGATCCTTACCCCACACCCTCTTCAGTAAAGCTGGGATGGAGTAGAGGAAGCCTGAGATGTTCTCAACATCACCTCCTAGTCACCCTCCTGTGCTGAACTCATCCTGCCCACAGGCTCTGAACACACCCCTGAACCCCAGAGCTGAAGTCGGGGTGGGTTCATGGAGAGAGAAAAAAAGCTGCATGGCACTATTTGTATTTTTTGTGTACTTCCTCACTGATGAAATTAAGAAAGAGTCAGGCTCAAGTCCCCATGTCTTCATGAACCAATGAAGAAAGTATAATCCTGGCTCAGGTAAGCATGTTGTTATGAGGCTGAAGGGAACACAGTAAAGCTCCTGTCTCACCTCACCTGAAACCCTCCTTTACTGTTCTGATTTGTGGGACAACATTTCCTGAGTTCATCCATGCCTCCCTCTCCTGAAAACCCTCAGAGTTGCTGAGTCATTCTGATGTGGACTGAGAGAAAAGTGTTTTTCTCATTGACACCTCTAGAGGGCAGAGCTCAACAGATGCCAGGGAAACCTACCAATTTTCCATGCAGAACCTGGGATTTTGACATTGTAAATCAAGCATGTCAAACTCAATGGCTAACATGGGTCAAATAAACAAGGTTTAAGTTTATGTGGGTCACATAAAAACAAAAGTGTCCATTTTCATAGAAACATAGGTTTATTTCCATAGAGACATGCTGAATACAAAGGGCTGAAATAAATGACTCATCATTAACATAAAATAATAGAACATTTTAAGAAAAATTAATATTTTTTCTTGAACATTAACTTACCAGACTGAATAACTGCACAAAATAATAAGTGTAACGCAAATAAACTTATTTTTCTTGTTCTCCAAAAGTGAGATATTTCCTGTTGCGCACACTAAACAAGTCAGTACAAGACTAATGTTGTGGCAACTGGCTGCTAGAATATTTGCTGCTAGTATTAGTGGAGAGAAATGGTACCACTGCATGTAAGGTGGATAAGGGAAATGAATGCAACATGATTATAGTAATCAGTCATTAGCAAAGGTTGTCGTTTTTTATTAACTAGAGGCCCAGTGCACGGATTTGTGCACCGGTGAGGTCCCTCGGCCTGGCCTGTGGGGATTGGGCTGAAACCGGCTCTCCGACATCTCCTAAGGGGTCTCGGACAATGAGAGGGCGCAAGCCAGGCTGAGAGACCCCATCAGTGCACAATCAGGGCCAGTATCGATCGGCTGACCCCACCAGCAAGCTAAACTACCAGTCGGAGCATCTGCCCCTTGGTGGTCAGTGCACATCATAGCATATGGTCGAACCATTGAACAAATGGTCAGACACTTAGGATATTAGGCTTTTATTATATAGGATTATGTATAACAGGATTATCATAAAAATTAAAGTTATAAAATTTTTATTAAAATGTTTCTTACATACTGTTATATTGGTTGGGCCACAAAAATATTCGTTGTGGGCCACATGTGGCCTGTGGCCCGCGAGATTGACATGCTTGCTGTAAATGCTTGGATGTCCTCCTAGATGCCCCCATGCCTCCTTTTAATCACCTATTCACTTGTCTGCATCCTGACTGGAATGTAAGCTTCCTGAGGGCAGGGACCTTGTCGTTATGGTTCATCTGTGTATCCCCAGAACCAAGCACAGAACCTGCCACTTCAAGGTGCTCAACACAATCATGGCTGAGTGGATGCCTAAATCTTTAACAGGCAGCTTGTTATAATCTGCTCCTCTCCACTTTTGTGGTTATATCTTAATTTTAATTACATTACATTCTAATATTATCATTTTTATCCTTTTATTATAAAAATTTCTAGCATGTACAAAATGAAAGTACAAAGATCCTCTTTGTATCCATCACCCAGCTACAATCATAATCACACAAGTCAATCTTGTGTCACCTAGATGCCCACCCACTCTCCCTATCTTGTGAAAATTCGAAACAACCCCATATACAGGATAATTTAATACTTGACTCTTTATATTTCTAAATCATTAGATTTATTATTAAAATAACCACAATATCACACATAACTAAAAAATTAACAATGATTTTTAATATCCTGTAATATTCAATCAATAGTTGTATATGTGTCAAATATATTACTGTATATTAAAATAAAAATAAGGTTCATAAATTATGTCTAGTGGCTATTTCTTTTGTTTCTTTTAAAATTTTCCTGTACTCTTACAATGGCAGGATTTTTTAAAATTTTATTGTTCAGATAGTCCAATTCCTTCATAATATGCATAGTATTTTTATTTAAGGCAAAACCATTCACAGGCCATCTAGTATGGAAGCCTCCTAGCTGACGTGAGAAAGCACTTCACCACAGTCAATTTTGGATTCAACTTAAGATGACAGAACTCACAACCCACCTCGACTCCAGCTGCAGCCAGGAGCCACCGGATGGGCTCCATTCTGCCTCGTGCATTGAAGTAGTGAAGCTTGGGCTTCCCAGCCATGTCGCAGCCTCCTGGTTTCTCTAAACATGAGTGAATGCATGAATGAATGCATGAATGAATGAATGAAACCATAGGAGCAAACTGTATTTTATGGTGTACATTCGAACAGAAGGGTGAAGTATCTGCTTTCTTAATGGTGGAATTGGTGGAGTCCCATGAGGTCTTCCTTTGCCCATATTCTCACCCAATAGTGGCCATTGGTGTCAAATTGCACCAAGTAAGTCTCAGGTTGCCATTTGTCCTCACTCTGAGGATATAAACAGAGCAGCCTGGATCCCACACAGGAGAAGCAAGCCAGTGAGGGGCCTTGAAACCAGAGGACTTAATGACAGGGAGGAGGACAAGGGAGCAGAGTTAGTCCTCTGCTCTTTGGCTGTCATGCTGCTCTTGTTCAAATGCATGAAGTGGGGCTTAGTCCTGGCCTGATAGTCACCAAAACCTTCTAAGTTCTCTCCATTCAGGAAGAGGTTCATTCCTCTTTTCTACTGCAATTCTATATTTTTCACTGCTGCATGATATTTATATTCCATTTAGAAAAAGGAATGTTAGTGCATTACCTTTATAGTACATAGAAAGGAACTAACATGTGTAGTGTCTACCACATAACAGACCCTTTCTAATTTTTATCCTTATTTAATCTTAGAAAAAATGACTTGAGGTAGATCTTGTTGTTATTCTAAGTTTATAGTTGGTGGTTCTCATGGCTATAGAGGTTAAGCAACTGGCCTAAAATAAGTGGTTAAGCTATCATTTGAACACACTTAAAAAAAACTTATATTGGACACCAAAGTCGTGGAGCTTCTCTAAAACAGTATTTTATTTTTTTATTGATTAATGTATTACATATGTGTTCCTTATCCCCTCATTGGCACCCCCCACCCCCTGATCTAAAACAGTATTTTGTAAACTATGGATTGTGATCCCTCGGTGTGCTGTGAAATTAGAACAGTGGGTTCAGACTAGCATTTTCCATTTGAAATATAATAGAAAATATCAGCGTACCATATGTAGTAAGTCTAACTATATAATTACTAAATAAAATTTTAATTTTAGTTACACTTACATTGTGTGTGAGTGTGCGTATGTGATTGTATGCTCTGGTTTGTTGTAAAAGGTAAGAAATACATTAGTTTGGGGTCAGCAAAAGAAGTCTAACAGCTGCGTCCCTTTTCTAAGGTTTCTCTGAAACACTGATATTTGAGGCTGGATAATTCTTTGTTGTGGGGGGCAGTCCTGTGCATTGGAGGATATTTACTTTAGCAATATCCCTGACCTCTACCCACAAGATGCCAGTAGCATAGTGCCCTGTCCCTCTCTCCCATCATGACAACCCAAAATAAAATCAGGGGCAAAATCACCTCTGGTTGAGCACCACTGCTCTGTTCCAAGCTGAGACAGCAGCACACAGGTGGGAGGAGCCAAAGAGAGCTCCTCACATAATGACTGGGAAATTCCAGCAAAGGTCTTGGGCAGGTTTTCTCAGGGATGTGAGTACAAAGGCACAGGAGCCATTAAAAAGCAAAGATTTGCTCTTCCCAAAAGCAGCCAGAGGTGACCTCTGAAAGTGGTTCGCTGTTCACTGGACAGAAAACCTCACAAAATCATGCAAACCAAGAGGGTCAAATATTTGTGTGCATTGCCCGGGCCATATTCAAAAAGCCACCACGTTTCTGAAGGATGCCACTTTATAGAAGCTGTGTGTGCTGTTCCGTTGTCACAATGGTGGAGGTTGTAGGTGTGCCCAGGCAAGGATTCAGTTGCCTACACTTAGGGGGGGACAATTTCTGTCCCATTCTTAGTCACTAGACCTCTACTCAGAAAATGTTTTTAAGCATCTTTGCAAGATTTTAATTTCTTAGCAAAACATATATATCTCCAAGCAATAGTAATATTTTTTAAAAGGTACATGAAATTTGAATTTTTATATGTCAAAAGGTAACCGTAAGTTAACATTGCAATTAAGCAATAAATGCTGGGTTTTATTCTGCCTTTTCTCAAGGCTGGAACCAACCCTCTGTTTTCTTAAAGTGTGTAAATAAAGCCCTGTGTTTTCATTCCCTATTTAGCCTTTCTTACAGCTTAGAGAACTATTGCTTGGGGCCACAGGTGTCCTCAGTAAATTTACAAATTTCTGTTTGAAGAGAGAGAACTCTGAGAATAGGGGAGGAAGCCCACTTCCTTTCTCATGCTCCCCCTTCTTAGGAGAAGCAGCACTTCTCATTCCCCTCCCCCCTGATGTAATTGTTGTACAGTCCCTGTCCATCCTTATAAAAACCTCCGTCAGCACTGAGATCTCCAGATGATTTTTTGAGGACTGGGAAAAGTCTCCCATCTTCTCAAGATGCCAGCACTCAAATAAACCCCTTTCCTTTTTCACCAGCACCTGTTTCATGAGTTTGGCTCTCATTGCAAAGGCAGCCAAATCTGGGTTTGGTTACAAAAAGAGTTTAAATATTCCAAAGGATATTTATTTATTTGCTTCTTAGAACCTTGTTTCTGGGTGACATGTAATATATTTTCGCTTTTTAGGTGTTTCATTCAAACTTCCTCAACTAACACTCATGGAGCAGCTTCATGTCTTCATGTATCAAGCAGTAATGGCTCTTTGGGAACAAGAAACAAGTCGGATTTGTTCCTTCCCTTTAAGGGTCTAAAGTCTGGTCAGAAAAATAAGCTTGTTGACAACTGGAATTCTGAGGCTTTCCTGCATGAGAACTCTGTTTTGCTCTTTGTTTTGTTGACAATTCTTCCAGGGCACTACTGACTCTCATTAGGCTGCACCCTACTGGGTGACTTCGTGTGCCTTCTGAAAACTAATGCTCCATTGATGTATGTAACTCTCCCCTCAAGACTTCCCCAATTATAGACCTAGAAAGGGTCTGAGAAGTAGGCTGGTCCTTCAAGAGTGTAAACAATATGCTACACACCAAAGAGAGGGTATGATTTGCCAGCTAGCTAGTTAGTAATAAAGTCTAAATTAGATTCCAATTCTCCTAACATTCAGACTAGTTTCTCCCTATTATTCTACTAGTATATTACTGAATTTTCACAGCCTACAGAAATCAGTTTCTTTGTCGCCCATTAAATTAGTGAGTTTCCCGAGAAGTTGTCGTAGTACACAGGGTGTTGAGCACAGTTCATTGTTCAACAGGCCGTTTGCTCAAAGGTCAGTACACTCTCCATGTGACATGGCATGGGCAGATTTCTCAAAAGCCATTCCTTTTTTTGTTTGTTTGTTTTGTTAGGATTTCCCTCATAAACCTTGCCATTTACAACATAGAATTATGGAGTGATTAAATTATAAGCTGGGATCATGGTAATGAAGTAGCCAATCCTGATTACAAAACACAACATTGTGCTATTTAAATGGAACTATCAAAGCAGCAGAACTTTCCACATAATAGAAACACAATGGTTATGCCAAAAAGCTTTGGCAAGGTAGCCCAGAGGAATATTTAACTGGGCAAACAGAAGGAATTTGCAAATCCTCTGTCAGACTGGGAACCTCACAGCTCAAGAGAAGGCCATTATTTTCTTAAATTTGCCTAAGATGTAAAGCCAGAGGCACTTGACTTCCTATTCTAAAGTCCCTATACATTTCGATTCACTAGTCAGTTTGAGTCTTTTCTTTATAAGAAACCCTTTCTACCCTTTGCTCCAAAAGCATTAAAGAAGGAAGGAAAGGAGAAGGAGGATGAGAGGAAGAAAGAGCGTTGGGGTGGGCGGTGAGGAGGAAGAGAAGGAGCAGGAAGAGATAGAGGAGAAAGAGAGATAAGTGCTTAATCACAAAGTAACTCATATAAACAACAAGCTAATATAAGAATTCACCTATAGAGGAGTAGGTTCAGATTCTGACTGGCAGGCATTGCTGCCAATTGGTTTCCCAACAGGAGGTGTCAGTTCAAGAGGCACAAAACCATTGTCCTATATTTCCTTCCCGTTGCTCAATGTGTGTCCCTGCCACATTAAAATTCAGTACCAGTGTATGTTGTCTACTGTATGAACACACTAATGCATCATTCATAATGGCGAAGCGATTTTAGTGTAAGCTCACATGCTTTCCCTGGAACTAGAATAGTTGTATTTTCACATTACCGGTAATAATAACACTCTTACTTTTCCCATATTATCAAATTCTCTGCCTTCATTTTCAAAATTCTTGATTATTATTTTCCTTTAAAGACCTGGCCTTGAGGATCTAATAAATAATGCTTGAATTGTCTCCTGAAGATACAAAGAAGGCACAATAAGAACATAGAGTACCCACATAAAAAAATTTCCAAGTGAAATGGACACAAGAGAATTTATAGAGATGTGTAAGGTCAGTACTAACCTATTATGTTCACGCTGTCTCTCAGCTCAGCTCCTCAAGGTCACTGCCTAATATCTGTGTTAGATGCTTAAATATTTTGACAACCCTCTCCCTCCTAAGGGGGTGGAGTCCAATAAGGAGCAGTCACTCCCACAGCCTCCAGCCTCCACAGACCTCAATACGAGACCTGAAAGCAAAGGACAGCTCAACAATGTTTCATTTCAAGATTATCCATAAATGCACAAAGAAGGGATTTCAGGTGTATTTGGTTGCCCAATAGGTCCATGGGAACCAGGCTTCTATTAACACTGCTGCTTATGTAGGATTTCATGAAATTTGCTGTAAAGATGGAAAAATCTTATGGGAAAATATGTCACAGGAGGGTAGTGTCAGAAAAGAGGATAAGAAAGAGAAAATAGAGAGACAGCAATCTAAATTCATAACAAGGACTGAATGATGAATACTGTTGCAACCCAAATTCTCTAGGCCCAAAGAATCCGTCTGAGTTATCTAGCAGTGGACAGGAGGAACTCAGCTGCCTTACCTGGGCCTGTGTAGACCCTTTCCTTAGAGACTACACTTCAGCATTTCCCTCTAGCCTCAGGACCCTTGCATGTGCTGTTTCTTTTGATTGGAACGCTCTCTTGTCCCTACTCTCAGGCATCCTGTGCTTCCTCTGTCAAGTAGT